AGTATAATTTAATACATTCATATTTTAATATGTATATCAGAATCTTGACAAAGTAAACAGGTACAATATCTTGAAATTCTAAGTAGGTAGGGAATCTTGTCATGTGAATTTTTAAAAAGGAAATTTTGTAGTTTTTATTTTAAAATTTTAGCCACAAGTCAGGTACAAAAGCTCACTAATTTATAAAGGCAGTTGTTCGATCCAATAGAGAAAGTAGAGATCTCAGAAATATACCTGAAACCCAAATATCAGTATTTAATTAAACCAAATTGACCATAGAAGTCTACAAAATCCTTTTAAACATCTCATCAGGTTCAGACAGATAATAGATATATTTGGCTTTCCTTTCTTGCTTTCTTTTTGCCCCCTAAGAATCATTCCCCCTAAAGGAACAGTTTCTCAGATAAGATGTAGAGTTAATTTACATCTTAAGGGCACAGAGAAATACCGTAAATGGTGACCAAGAAAGAAATGTCCAGGGTAATCACTATTTAAATTTTTTCCTTTTTTTGAAATATATTTTATTTCTAATTGACACATGGTAATTGTACATATTGATAGAGCACAGTGTGACATTTCAATACATGTATACAATGTGTGATGATCTGATCAGGGTAATTGGTATATCAATAACCTCAGAAATATCATTTCTTTGTATTGAGGACATTTAAAATTCTCTCTTAAAATAATTATTTATTTTACTTAAGTTTTTTTTTTTTTTTTTGTGTGTGTGTGTGTGTGTGTGTCTGGGGATTGAACCCAAGGATGCTTTACTACTGAAATACTTCCCCAGTCTTTTTGTAAATTTTGAGACAGGATCTTGCTAAGTTGCCCAGGCTGATCATCCTGCCTCAGCCTCCTGGGTCATTGGGATTATAGGAGTGACCCACTGTACCTAGTTAAAATTTTATTTTAAATTGACAAATAATAATTGTATTTATTGGGTATAATCTTTTTTGTTCTTGTTGTTGGTTCATTTGCTTTTGTGGTGATGGGGATGGAACCCACAGCCTTGTGCATACTACTCAAGGGCTATACCACTGAGTTATACCCCCAGACCTTTTATTAGGTGTAATGTGATGTTTTGAAATGTTTACATTGTAGAATGATTAAATCAAACTAATTAACATATCGATCACCTTGAATATTTATCTTTGTTTGTGATGAGAACATTTAAAATCCACTCTTTTAGCATTTTGAAATATATAATTATTGAAATCATATTTCTGAATGCTTATATTTTATACTAATGCAATATCATGACCTTATTTATTCTCTAATGAGAATGGTGTAGTATGCTACATGTTGTGGGTATAAAATAGAGTCTGGGGAAACAGTTCAAAAGTAAATGCAGGTCCAACCATGACTGAGGCCTGCTGCCTCAGGAAAACCTCAGGAAAGCCTGGGTCCTTGATTAGAGTTGGTGGTATAATTGCCCAATTATTGAAGGACATTAAACTAATACTATTAGCTTTTTGATCTTCATTACAACTCTAGACACAACTTTAAAAAAATGTTTCTGAACCAAGTATTTCAACTAGAAAGACAGCTTTATTTATTTTGTGGTTAAGTGAAAGGCCTTTGGAACGACGACATGGTTTCAAATCTGCCTTTATAATCGCTAAAAGAGCATCTAAAGGATTGTTTGAATCAGGCATGAAATGTATTCAATGTAATGTCTCATTCATAGCAAACGCTTATTCACTCATTTCATTCAGTAAATACATAATAATGGTCTACTAGAATATGTCAGGCCATGGTTGGCGTCCTGTTGATACAGCTAGATCAAGACCTAAAAATTCCTTGCCTACAGGGAGCTTGTATTTTAGGGAGGGGAACCAGAAATCTACACATAAAAAATGGAAAACAAGTACTACGAAGAATAACAAAACAGGGAAGTTATTTTAGAGAGTGGTTGGGGAGTAAATATCAGCTATTATATTTATTTTGTTTCATTCCATTATCTACAAAGTTTCTAAACTTTTTTGGTCAGGAGGAAAGAAAGAAAAATAGGACTAATGAGAGGAGAGGAAAGGGAAAAATGGGCAAAGGACATTAAAGGAAGCTGAGTGGAGAAGAACAGGAATGGAGAGTGCACTGGACAGGATGGTAAGTTTAAAAAAAAAGCAACGACAAAGAGAAGGAAAGTAAGAGGAGAAGCGACAATAGTTTGTGTAATAAGCTGAGACGAAAACTCTGAAGGAAAGAGAATGAAATTCAGAGAAAATCATGTTACTCTTTAATTACTATGTAGATTTAAAAATGTTTAGTTTGGGATGAGCATGCTAATAGAACTTTAAGGGCATTGTTTAAGGGTAAGTCTGGCCATGTAATTTGTTGGGCTCAGTACAAAATTAAAATTCAGACTCCTTTGTTAAAAAATTATTAAGAATTATGAAATGGTGATGGCAGGTATTAAACCAAGGACAACTGAATAGGTCAAAGATCCCTGAGTCTGCCATCTCTGGGAGTTTAGTACAGAGCCTAGTTAATTGCAAACATTTAATAAAGAGTTTTTGCATGAATAAAACTGGAGGCTAATTACCTTTCAGCTCCTCAGAGGACTGGGTCATATTTAATGAAAAGATTATTCTATTTGGCCACAAATTCAAATTTCCTTCTATTGTTCTCCATGTGGGGTCTAGATCTTTATGGAACAGCAAATTCCTCAACATCCTTTAGTAGCAGGAATCCTCCCAGGATGGGCTGGGCTTTGTTTATTCTCTTGCATTTGCAAAATATGGCCACTTGGGGTCACTGCACCAACAAAGGAAGGCGGAAGCTAATCAGGAAGACTAGCTTCTAATAAAATAACCCTTCGAGGGTGCTTCTAGCTGCTTATCAGATAATCAGCCACTGATAAGCAGCTAGAAGCACCCCGGAAGGGTTAATTTATTAGAACCAATGTATAAAGGCTACTTGTGCTTTACATTTTGTTACAGTTTTGCAATTATACATGAAGGGCTGTAAAACTCCTTAAGAAACATTTGAATGCTTTTAGCAAAATCTCAAGAGGATAAAGATCAGAAGTCTGCTGTAGGATAGCCAGGAGCAGGGGAGAATCTTTTTGTAGAGATGTATCCTACTTCATAAAACATGCTTTTACAAGATCAAGTTTAACATGAGAAATATTTGCATGTGGATAATTCATTTTACAAATATTAATGGAGCTCTTACTACATGCCAGATAGTGGACTGGGTGAACAGTACTACAAGGTCCCTGTGTCTGGCTTAGGAGCACTGCCTGGAGGTGGAGATAGACTTAGCAATTTGCCACCACAATATGTGCCTCAAAGGATGGACACTCCCTCCAAGGACCATGAAATGGCACTTGCCTTACAAGACTCAGAGGACTAAGTAAAGTGGATCTGGAAATAAGATGTGTTCCTCTTTCCTCCTCTATAACAGCAGAAAACAAATTTCAGACTTTCCATCCTTTAGGGGTTCACAAATAATGAGATTCAGGTGCACAGACCCAAATACACAATCACACTACTTTGTCAATGGTTAGAAAAAGTACCATTTGTGTGACTGTTTTTTTTTTGGGGGGGGGTATTGGGAACCGAACCCAGGAATGCTCTACCACTGAGCTACATCCAAAGCCTGTTTTATTTTTTATTTTGAGGCAGGGGCTTGCTAAGTTGTTGAGACAGGCCTTGAACTTGGCAATCATCCTGCCTCCCCCTCCAGGTTAGCTGGGATTACAGGTGTGCACAACCATGTCTGGCTTGTGGGTCGGCTCTTCTTCTCATTTTATTAAAGAAGATGTTAAATGCTGGGTTATGTGGTTTACTGAAAGGACAGTATCCTCTGCCACCAACATGTACATGAAATGCTTATGTCCCCTACCCCGCCTACCCCTCCTCAAACCAGAATAATTAAATTATTTTATCTTTTGGGTAGGCTTTTTTTCCCCACATTTATATATTTGTTATATTATGTCCATGATTAAAATCCTACAGTGAGCAGGCTGAGAATGTTGCTTAATGGTAGATCGCTTGCCTCACATGTTTGAGGCCCTGGGTTTGATCTCCAGTACTAAGAAAAAAAATCTAGTTATTTTGGGTACTTAGCTTTAAAGTCGTAGCAAAAGCTTTCAGGTACTAACAGAACTATCAGAAGTCACAGAGAGGAAACAGCAAACACTGTTACAGAAGAAGTGGTAAATGAACTTCCTTCCATGTTGAATTTTGAGATGATACTACTGCTATGTTGAGTTAATTTCTATGGGCAGGTGTTGAAACAGGCCTGGTAAGAGAAGTGCCTAAGCAGGCCTGGCTTCCCAGAGCAGGGTATTGGGGTTTGGGTTTCCATAGATGGTGTCAGGATTGAAGAGAAGGAGAAAAGGTCTTGATAACAATTGCTCAGGAAAGGACTACTCCCGGAGAGGGTTGTCAAATAGGGAGCTAGCCTGTGCTATCTATGTGCCTTACCTTGCCTTGTTCTACTTTGCAGAGCCATGAATTCTGGTTGTGTTTACCCTCTGAGCTGAATAGTCTGCTGTCTCCTCCAGAGAGGACTAGCTTTTTATTCTCCCTGTAGGAGGAGATAAAAATTGTACTCATATTTTTATGATTCAGTTTCAGATTCAGTTTTCAAAAGGCTTATTCTCTCCCCTGAACCTGCAGTGGGGGTATGCTAACAATGGGTACTGGAGCCTCAGTAATCAAAGAAGCAGTTAGCCAAGGAAAAAGTTGTTCTTTATGATTTGATTAAAAGAACAATTTATATGTACAAAGAGATTTGGTTTGATCTAAGGATATATATTTTTTAACAACTAGAAGTGGATACAGTTTATACTGTTTCTTACATTGGAGCTCTTGGTAAAAGCAGGCATCAGGGAATTCAGGTAACATTCTTTGCCAGTGTTGTAGTTTCTATCAAGGGGACTAAATACAATAAACTTCTACTGTTATTATTATTTTCAATGTTCAATTTCCTTTAATGAACCCCATCTCTCTAAAGGATAGGTGCAGGCAGCTAGGTGATGGCAGGAGATGAAAAACATGGAACCTCACAAATTTGCATGTCATTCTTGGGCAGAGGCCATGCTAACCTTCTCTGTATCATCCCAATTTTAGTATATGTGCTGCTGAAGCAAGCACAAAGATGTTTTATATATATATATATATATATATATATATATATATATATATATAATATTTGTTTTTTAGTTGTAGTTAGACACAATACCTTTATTTTATTTATTTATATGTGGTGCTGAAGATGGAACCCAGGGCCTTGCACGTGCCATGCAAGTGCTCTACTGCCACAACCCCAGCCCCTGTTATATATTTTTTTAATATTTATTTTTTTAGTTGTAATTGGACACAATACTGTTGAGCCACATCCCTAGCCCCTAAGATGTTATATTTATTGTCAATATATGAAGAGCAAGTTTGAAGAAATTTTTTACAATTTTATATTGTCTCAATTCTGAATTGTCACCAAACACAGATTAATCCAAACTCCTACCTTCTATTCAGACCTGTTTGGAATGTTCTTTTCTAATTCATTCTGAAATCATTTTGATGGGTTTAGAGCTTCAGCACTGTTTGGTTTTAAAACCCCTCCAGTTTCCTCTCATCTATGTGCAGAATTCTATGAGGAAGTATAGGAAGCTGGAAATTAAAAAAAAAAAAAAAAGTCATCTGAACTCAAGGACCTTACCATGGTGTGCCAATGCTGGTGGACTTGGGAAGAGACTTTCTGTTTCTGTGTATTCTTAAAGCACAAGGAAGTGGGGTTTCCCAGGGGGAGGTCTGGAGTCTCTTGTACCATCAAGGCAGTGAAAACAGGGGTGAAGTTTGATGAATTCACACTGGCTTGCAATGGAGTTTCCTGATGAAATGGGCAGTTGTATGTAGCAGAGATTACTTGGTTTTCCATGCCAATGTGCAGTGAATTTCCATGGAGGATCAAGTATATAAAACAAATAAAACCCACAAGTGTATAAAAAGGATCAATTCAAAATAAGTGATTACTATTAAAACAATTGGTGGAGTGGATAAATGTGCTAAATTGAGTCTGTAGTCATTGGAGAAGATTGATTAGTTTTGGGAATCTTCATGAAGCAAACAAATTTTGAGTTGCATTTTCCAAGAAGGACAGAGACTCAGATTAATAGAAGGGGCAATAAATAATATTTATAAGACCCTTATAGGGGCTGGGGATGTGGCTCAAGCGGTAGCGCGCTCACGTGGCATGTGTGCGGCCCAGGTTTGATCCTCAGCACCACATACAAAAACAAAGATGTTGTGTCCGCCAAAAACTAAAAAATAAATATTAAAAAATTCTTTTTTTTTTTAAAAAAAAGACCCTTACAAAGTGTGGCAGGCAAGATAATGAACATTCAAATATGCTCACATCCTAATTCTTGGAACCTGTGAATGGAACATGGCAAAAGGAGTGTTATAGATGTGACTAAAGTTAATAAACTTGAGTTGGAAGATTGTCCTGGATTATCCAGTGGGGCCCAATCCGATTACATGGATCCTTAAAAGCAGAGAAACTTTTTCTTGTCTAAGAGTCAGAGGGAGATGTATCTACAGAGGAATGATCAGATGTAATGTGGCCTTGAACATAAAGGAAGGGGGTCATAAGCCAAGGAATATGGGCAGCATCTAGAGGGTGGAAAAGTCAAAGAAACAAATTTTCCACTGGAGTCTTTGGAAAGGAATGTAGTTGTGCTAATACCTATATTGTAGCCCATTGAGAACTATGTCAGACTTCTAACCTGCAGAACTGTAAGATAATGTGCCTGAGTTGTTTTAAGCTACTATTTGTAGTCATTTGTTATAGCAGCAATAGAAAATTAATATGAGACAGCAATATGAGGTAGATACTATTATTATTGTCACTTACAGATGGGGAAGCTAAGAAATCAAGGGTTTAGATTCTTGCCCAGTGTCACACAACTGTGCAGTGACATTAATCCAAAGAACTCAGTTGAAGACACTTCAGAACTCATGCTCTTATCTATGATGCAATTTCATCTCCCAGGACTTACAGTGGGGAGGAGGAAGGAGACCGGTTTCTAGCAGAGGCTCACTGAAAGGAGCGGATAGTGACAGGGCTGGCCAACTCAAAGGGAAGCTCAAAGCCCTGGATTAATGGAGGCCAGTAAATAGTTGTTCCTCAGGCTAGGTTCACACTCTGTCCCTGATTAATCTTACTCGGTGGCTTCTTTGATCAAGACAAACTGGTTTACTCCCACAAACATGTTGTTAAGCAGGACTTTTCTACACAGGTACCTTTGCTCAAGCCGCCCACTTCTCTTTCCACCACTCTGCTGCCCACCTCTTCTCATCCCAGCTACCACTACCTGGGGGCACTTGGGTTCAAGGACTTTGGAATAAAATCACACATTGCTCTGGGCCTCTTTTGTATATTTGCTATTAAGTGTCTTAAATTCCTGTCGTTTACTTTTTCTTAAGTTTGTGATTATTTCCTAGATGATATGTAATTTAATGGCCTCTGTGAACTTGCTTTGGGCAGGAGAAACAAAACCACCCTGATCGGTCCTCATCAGGATTTTTTTTATTCGTTCCTAAAATAAACTTAACTTCCATACACAGTTTTGCTTTTTGTGAGGGTATGTTTTCCTTTCCCTGACTCCCCATCACTAAGAATATCAGGGCCTCTTGTTCAGCGATCCCCTATCCTTTATTACAGATTGAGGGTGACGAAGGGCTACCTCCTTCATTACCTTGGCACACAGAATACAAGAGTGTACGTTACAGCCCAAAGGCCAGGCAGGCATTAGACAACCAGGGTCACGTCGTGGGAGAAAGCTGGAGGCGATTTTGCTCTCCTCCGGCTGGCGCGCCCCCGCCCCTCGCCCCGCCCCGCCCCGCCCCGCCCTTCGCGCTCGCGCCACCTGCCGCTCGCCCCCGCCGTTCGCGCGGCGCCGCGCCTCGCCGGCTCCTCAGCTTCCAGCCAAGATGGCGGAGAGCGGCGAGGCCCTGGGCACCGTTCCGGAGCACGAGCGGATCTTGCAGGAGATCGAGAGCACTGACACCGCCTGCGTGGGGCCCACTCTCCGGTAAAACTCTTTTCTTCTCGGGACTTCGGGCCGTCTTGCCAATACCTCCGGTGTATGGGCGGGGTGTCCACCGCTGGCCGCGCGCGCACTGGCCCGACAGGTGGTGCGCGCGGGGGCGGACGGGGGCGCTAGTGGGCGGCTGGACTCCGGCCGCGGCCGGGAGGGGCAGAGCGGGCGGCCGCACCTGTCAGTGAGGCGGTCAGCTCAGCGAGCTGTCACCACGCAGCCGGTGGGTGTGGCTGCCGGGGCGTCTCTGACCGATGTAGCTGCAGCGTCGCCCGCTGCGCAGGTCCCGAGGATCCGCCGTAGGCCTGCTGGCTTCGTGCGGCTGCGGTGCCGGGGGCGAAGGTTAGCTGCTGGCAGCCGGCGTGACTGAGGTGTCAGGTCACGCGCAGGGCGCGCTGGGCCGCCGGCAGCGTGGAAGAATTGAAATTGAGCGGGAGATGCCAGCACCTTGCATCATTTTATTTTGGAAAAATTTAAATGTTTAAAAGGGTAAAATAGGGGCTGGGGTTGTGGCTTAGCGGTAGAGCGCTTGCCTTGCACGCGCGAGACCCCGGGTTAGATCCTCAGCACTACATAAAAATAAATAAAAGAAATAAAGGTATTGTGTCCAACTAAAACTAAAAAATAAATATTTTTTTAAAAAGTAAAATAATAAACGAACCAGTATGAACCATCGTCTAGCTTCAGTTGTGCTTGATCTTTCCCCCTCTCCATTCACCCTCACTCTGGATTATTTTGAAGCAAATCCAAGGTGTATTAGCTCACCAATATATATTTTAGTATTCAAATTGACATTTTGTTATTTCCTAATTATCCTTTAGCTGGCCTGTCAGTTTATATTATTATTTTATTAAATTATTTTCCTCAGTGTCAGAATTTTTCAGCCTTCTCCCTGAGAAGTATGTGATACACTTTCCACAATACCGTCCTTTGATCACAAGAGAATAAAATTAAAAATCAATAATAGAAAACCTTCTGGGTGTACAACCAGAGATATGAAAAATTGTGCTCTGTATGTGTAATGTGAATTGTAAGGCATTCTGTTGTCGTATATAACAAATTAAAATTTTTAAAAATTAAAAAAAGAAAACCTTCTGGAAAAGGATCTCAAATATTTAGTCACCACATGATATACTTTTGAATAATTCCTATGTCAGACACGAAATCACAAGAGAAATTAGAAAGTATTTTGAAGTGAATAAAATGAAAATGCAATATATAATTTTGGGAATGCAGCTAAAGATCTATTTAAAGAGAAATTTGTAGACTATCTCTACTAGAAAGGAATTTCAGTTTCTAAGTAAATGAAGTAAAAAAAAGGACCAATGAAACCCCAAAGAGTGGAAGCAAGATGATAAAGGTTAGAATGGGAAGCAATGAAAAAGAAAATGGAAAGAGGTAGAGAAAATCAATAAAACCAAAACACAAGTTCTTGATAAACCTTGAGCAGGGAGTGGGTGGAAGAGATGCAAATTACCAGTAACAGGAATAAGAAAGGTTAACAGTACAGTAGATTTTATAAATGTTAGAAAAGGTAATATTTAGAAGGACTCTTGTCAGTTTGGACAACCTAGCAGAAATGTACAAATTTATTGAAAGATATGAAGTATCAAAGCTCACTTAGATCACCAAATAGTTCTCTATCAATTAAAGAAATATAGTTTGCTGTTAAAGCTTTCTTTCCTTAAAAGAAACTTGAGACTCAAGTGCTTTTTCTGGTGAATTTTACAAAACTTAAGGAAGAATCAACACCAAGTTTACAAAAACTCTTTAGAAAATTAAAGAGGTGGGAATATTTTCTGATTCATTTTGAGTTAACATTAACCTTGATTAGCAAAATTAATCAAGACATTACTAGTTCAATCTCCAGCACTGGGGGTAGGGTAGGAGTAAAAAAAAAAATTGTAGGCCAACATTCCTCATGAATATTAATCTAAACACTTGAGACAAAATTGTAGCAAATTAAATCCACACATGGATTTAATATGAAAATATATGTCATTTATAGAATATAGCTAAAGATATATCCATACACGTATATATTATATTAAAATGATATATAATGTATATGTACACATACACATATCATGATCAGGTGGGCCTTATTTTAAGAAAGTATGCAGGCTTAATGTTTGAAAAAAATCAGTTTAACGTTTTCACCAAAATGAACATTTAAGACAAAAAAAAAAAACCCTGTATGTTTATTTCAGTAGATGCAGAGAAATCATGGACGAAACTTAAAAAAAAAAAAAAAGACTGTGTGGTATTAGGGAACGAGGTTGATCAAATTATGTTATGTATATATACAAATATGGCATAATGAATCCCACTATTATGTATAATTATAAAAAATAGGGGGGCTGGCATGTAGCTCAGTGATGAGCATTTCCCTAGGATGCTAAAGGCCCTTGGCTCAATCCTTAGTACTACAAAACAAAACAAAAAAAAGTCAAAAAGTAAGCAAACTCCTCAGAAACTAGGAATGGAAAGTCCTCAGTTTGAAAAGGGCATTTATGAAAATTCTATAGCTGACATTATACTTAATGGTAATGAATGAGTGAATGTTTTTCTTATAAAGCCAGAAATAAAGCAAGGTTATTTTTTTTAATGTTTAAATATTTTGATTACATTTAATGCCTAAGAATATCTCGCACATAAGAATCACAATTATGTTCTTTTTTTAAAAAAATTTATTTATTTATTTATTTTTGCATTACAATTCTTAATACACCATTATACCATAATTTATCATATCTCTGATTATATATAAGGTATGTTGACACCAAATTGCAAGGATATTTTTATCACTTCATTTTTAATGCTACATTATACTGGAGATTCTATCCAGTACAATGAAGCCATTAAAAAAAAAGTATCTAGATGGGTGTGGTGGTATAGTCCTATAATTCCAGCTACTCTGGAGTCTGAGGTGGAAAAATTGCAAGTTTGAAGTCACCCTAGGCAATTTGGGAACTTTATTTGTAGACAATATGATCATCGATATAGGAAAGTATGAAATTCTGTGGAATCTATAGGAAACCTAATAGAACAGATAAGTGAATTCAGTAACATTGTATTTGTATGCTAGCAATGAACAATCAAACTGAAATTTAAAAATTGATAACTTTGAAAATATGAAATATTTAGGGATAAATTTGACAAAAGATGTGACAAAAATATAAAACATTACTGATAGAAATTAAAGAAGACCTACATAAGCGAATACGTATGCTGTGTTCATGGACTTGAAAACTCAGTATTAAAATGTCAGTTTTCCCCAGTTTTGTCAATAGATCAAAAAAAATCTCAATTACAATCCCCACTGAATAAAAATTTGTAGAATTTGCAAACTGATTTTAAAATTTATATGGAAGTATGAAGGATCTAGAATAGCCATACTAACTTGGGAAAAGATGAACATAGTGGCAGGACTTATATTACCTGATTGTAAGATTTATTATAAAGATACAAGAAGACAAAGAGGTACTTGCGTCAGGAACACAAATAAATTGATGATATTGAATAGAGACCCTATAAATAGATTTATGTATGGTCAATTGCTTTTTAACAATGATAAAAAGGCAACTCAGTAGAATTGGAATCTTATTTGTAATGGAGGGGGAACAATTGGATTTCCACAGGTAAAATAACTTTGATCTGTATTTTGTACTATGTTTAAAAATTAACTCAAAATGGACCATAAACTTAAATGTAAAATGGAAAACTACTAAAACTGGAAAACAGGAAAATTTTTTTGTGATTTTGGGATAGGCAAAAACTTCTTAAATACTATATTCCAAAAGCATAATAACATAAACGAGAAAATTGGTAAATTGGACTTCATCAAAATTAGCAACATCTGGTCTTCAAAAATACTGTTAAGGGCTGGCATGGTGGCCCACACATGTAATCCCAGTGGCTCAGAAGGCTGAGGAAGGAGGATTGCAGGTTTGAAGCCAGCCTTAGTAACTAAGCAAGGCCCTAAGCAACTTAGTGAGACCCCCATCTTAAAATAAAAAATTAAAAAAGGGCTGGGGATGTAGGTCAGTGACAAAGTGCCTCTGGGTTCGATTCCCATTATCCTCCCTGCCTCTAAAATACTGTTAAGGAATGAAAAAGCAAGCTCCATATTGAGAGAATATATTTGTAAATCTGTATCTAGTTAAAAAAAATTGCATCCAGGATGCATAAAAGGAAGTCTTTGACACTGAATTATAACAAAAAAACAAAAAAAAAGGATGATTTGAACAGACACTTCACAGAAGACACACAAAGGGCATAAGCATATGAAAAGATGTTTAACATTATTATTCATTAGAAATGCAAATTAGCCAGGCAAGGTGGCACATACCTGTAATCCCAGTGACTTGGGAGGCTGAGGTATGAGGATCACAAGTTCAAAGCCAGCCCTAAGCACCATAGCAAGATCTTGTCTCTAAATAAAATATATTAAAAAAGGGCTGGGAATGTGGGGATGTGGCTCAATGTTTAAGTACCCCTAGGTTGAATCCCCTATACCAAAAAAAAAAAAAAAAAAAAAAGCAAATCAAAACCACAATGTTAAACCACTACACTGTTGGAACATCTGAAATTTAAAGATCATATACCAGGGGCTGGGGTTGTGGCTCAGTAGTAGTGCACATTCCTTGCGTGTGTGAGGCACTGGGTTTGATCCTCAGTACCACATAAAAATAAATAAACAAAATAAAGGTATTTTGTCCATCTCCAACTAATATATGTGTGTGTGTGTGTGTATACAACTAATATATATATATATATATATATATATATATATATATATATATATGTGAGTGTGTGTGTGTATAATCATAAAAGTTTAGTTAAAAAAAAGATCATTATACCATATATTGGTGAGAATATGGAGGAACTGGTACTCTAAACTATGGTAAGAGTTTCATGGATGTGTTTTATCAGGTTGAGGAAGCTCTCTTGTATTTTTAGTTTGTTGAGATCTTTTTTTTTTTTACAACAAA